AAGAGGCTCAGTGGGATGAGGAGACGCGGGCTCGTCCCGCTGGATTTTCTGGATGTTGGGATCAATCCCAAATCCCAGCTCCCGGAGCTCCTTTCCCACTTTCCCGGGATTCTGGGGATGAGCCCCGGGCACCAATTCCCGTGGGAATGCTGGGATGGGAGCTGGAGCAAAAATCGGGAATGCTGCTCTGCTCCCCGGCCCGGGAGCGCTGGGATGGGAGCTGGAGAGCCCGGAATGAGAGCTGGGAATGGAAAAAGAGGATTTGGGAATCCCAAAATGGATTTGGGAATCCCAAAATGGATTTGGGAACCCCAGAGAGGGATTTGGGAATCCCAAAATGGATTTGGGAACCCCAGAGAGGGATGTGGGAATCCCAAAATGGATTTGGGAACCCCAGACAGGGATTTGGGAACCCCAGACCAGGATTTGGGAATCCCAACACAGGATTTGGGAATCTCAGAGGGAGATTTGGGAATCCCAGAGGGAGATCTGGGAATCCCAACCCGGAATTTGGGAATCCCAACCCGGAATTTGGGAATCCCAACCCGGAATTTGGGAATCCCAACCTGGAATTTGGGAATCCCAACCCGGATCTGCCCTTCTCCATCCCAAATTTCCTCTCGGAGATGCCATTTTTGGGGAAGAACCGCTGGATTTGGGGCTGGCACATCCCTGGATCAAACCGGAATGGACAGAATCCAAGGATTTCACCGAAGCAGGAGCAGGCTGGGGATTTTCCATGGCAAAACCAGGAATCCCGGGAGGTTTTTCCATGGAATTAGCAGTGGAGCAGCCCCATTAACCCCCTGATGAGGAAATGGTTAATTGCCATTAATGTCAATATTTCCCGAGGTGATTTCCCGCCGGGAATTGCCCCAATTCCCGGTTGGATTTCCTGGTTACCCTCTGGAATGGGAATAAAAGCAGCCCCGGGCGGCCCCGCGGCTCCAGAAGCGCCGGGAGCTGCTCGGAGCCAGGTGAGGAATTCCGGGAAAAGCGGGAATTCTGCCTCTCCCTGCGGGCTTTGGCAGGGAGATCTTCCCAGGGAGGATTTGGGATCTCGGGGGAGATCCCGGCTCAGGGAAATCGGGATTTCGGCATTTTTGGGATCGCTGGGATGCGGATAAAGCGGGATAACGCTCCCGGCTGGGCCGCGCGCTGCAGGGCCCGGTGATCGGTGATCCCGGGGGTGATCCCGGAGGTGATCCTGGTGATCCTGGGGGTGATCCCGGTGATCCCAGAGGTGATCCCGGAGGTGATCCCGGTGGTCCCGGGGGTGATCCCGGAGGTGATCCTGGTGATCCCGGAGGTGATCCCGGTGATCCCAGAGGTGATCCTGGTGATCCCGGGGGTGATCCCGGTGATCCCAGAGGTGATCCCAGTTATCCCGGTGCTGATCCCGGTGATCCCGGTGCTGATCCTGGTGATCCTGGTGGTTATCCCAGTTATCCCGGCAGTGATCCCGGTTATCCCGGTGCTGATCCCGGTTATCCCGGCAGTGATCCCAGTTATCCCCGTTATCCTGGCAGTGATCCCGGTTATCCTGGTTATCCCGGCAGTGATCCCGGTTATCCCGGTGCTGATCCCGGTTATCCCGGTGCTGATCCCGGTTATCCTGGTGCTGATCCCGGTTATCCCGGCAGTGATCCCGGTTATCCCGGTGATCCCGGCGATCCCCAGGGAGGCTCCAGAGGGACGATGGCGCTGCGGGCGCTGCCGCTGCTGCTGCTGGCCGGGCTGGGAGCGGTGAGGATGGAGCAGAGCGGCCCCGGGTGAGAGCGGAGCGGGGGATCCCGGGGATTCGGGAGGGATTCCATGGTTTTGGGGGATCCTGGGGATTTGTGGGGATCCCAGGGATTCAGGAGGGATCTCATGGGTTTGGGGAGGATTCCGTGGTCTGGGGCCTGATCCCATGGATCACCAGGGTCAGGAATGATCCCATCCCACTGGGCTCAGGAGTGGGTGGATCCCAAGAGGATCAGGACTGAGCAGATCCCGATGGGATCAGGATGAGCAGATCCCAATGGGCTCAGGAATGAGCAGATCCCGATGGGATCAGGAATGATCAGATCCCGATAGGATCAGGAATGAGTGGATCCCGATGGGCTCAGGATGATCAGATCCCGATGGGATCAGGATGAGCAGATCCCGATGGGATCAGGACTGAGCAGATCCCGATGGGATCAGGATGAGCAGATCCTGATGGGATCAGGACTGAGCGGATCCCGATGGGATCAGGATGAGCAGATCCCGATGGGATCAGGAATGATCAGGACCGAGCGGATCCCGCCGTGCCCATCCCTGATCCCATCCCGCTTTCCCCGCTCCAGAGGCGGCGCTCCCGGGCTGCAGCGCCGGTACTCGGAGGCCACGCTGGCCAGCGACTACAGCCGCACCATGGACCACGTGCTGGGCAAGAACTTCGTGGAGTGGCTGCTGGCCCGGCGCGAGAGGAAAAGCCAGTGAGCATTCCCAGATCCCTGCCCAAAGCATTCCCAGATCCCAGCCCAAAACATTCCCAGATCCCTGCCCAAAACATTCCCAGATCCCTGTCCAAAAACATTCCCAAATCCCTGCCCAAAACATTCCCAGATCCCTGCAAAAACATTCCCAAATCCCTGCAAAAACATTCCCAAATCCCTGCCCAAAGACATTCCCAAATCTCTGCAAAAACATTCCCAAATCCCTGCCACAGAGCCAGGGATCATTCCCAAATCCCTTCCAGAGCCATTGGCATTCCCAAATCCCAAATCCCCATTCCCAGCCCAGCCTCTCCCGTCCTTTCCCAAAGCCACGGGAGCTCCGCGTCCAGAGCGGGGATGGATTCATGGATGGATTAATGGATAATCCATGGATAATCCATGGATAATTCATGGATAATTCATGGATGATTCATGGATGATTCATGGATGATTCATGGGTGGATCCATGGATAATCCATGGATGGATTCATGGATGATTCATGGGTGGATCCATGGATAATCCATGGATAATTCATGGATGATTCATGGGTGGATTCATGGATAATTCATGGATGATTCATGGATGGATTCATGGATAATCCATGGATAATTCATGGATAATCCATGGATAATTCATGGATGGATTCATGGATGGATTCATGGGTGGATCCATGGATAATTCATGGATAATTCATGGATAATTCATGGATAATTCATGGATGATTCATGGATGATTCATGGATAATTCATGGATAATTCATGGATGGATTCATGGATGGATTCATGGATGGATCCATGGATAATTCATAGATAATTCATGGATAATTCATGGATGATTCATAGATGATTCATGGGTGGATTCATGGATAATTCATGGATAATTCATGGATAATTCATGGATGGATCCATGGATAATTCATGGATAATTCATGGATGATTCATGGATAATTCATGGATGGATTCATGGATGGATTCATGGATGGATCCATGGATAGATCCATGGAAAAGCGGGATTCTGGCACCCTCTGCTGGACCCGCGGGATTCTCCAGCTTTTCCTTTCCCAGGGACATCGCGGAGCCGCTCAGGAGAGAGGCCGAGCCCCAAAAAACGCCGGAGAAATTGGATTTGGGAGCTCCGGGAGCCACAGAATTCCTGGCGTGGCTCTGGAAAAACCAGGAAAACCAGAGGTGAAGCGGGAAGGGAAAATCGGGAGGAGCAGAATTTCGGGAATTTGGGGGATTTTTTAATGGAATTCCGGGATTTGTTGGTTTTGTGCAGAATTTTGGAGGTTTTTATGGAATTTTGGGTGGATTTTTGGGGGTTTTTAATGGATTTCTGGGATTTTTTTGGGGTGTGTTTTACAGAATTTCAGGATTTGGGGTTTTTTTTTTATGGAATTTGGGGATATTTGGTGTTTTCCCACCTTTTCCATGCAAACACCTCCCGAAACGAGGCTTTGGGCTGGGGGAAAGGATCCGATTTGTGCTTCCCTTAATTATGGGAACAAACCCTTGGAAAATCCCACCCCAGGACTCCCAAAATCCCAGGAATCCCCTCGTTTCCAGAAGAAATCTCAAATTTCAGGCTCTTTATCCCAGTGGGAGATTTAAATCCCAACATTCCCTGTGGTTTTAGGACTGGGAGAAGGGGATGTTGAAACCTGGAATTTTTTTCGCTTTAATTCCGTTTTATTGAATTTATTTGGATTTTTTTTTTGCAGTTTTCCGGCTCTGGAAGGTTCTGAGGGTCTGAGGGAATTCTTGGAGCAGGAATTCCTGACGTGGCTGATGTCGGGAGAGCTCTGCAGGGCCACGTGAGTTCCGACATTCCCAAAAATCCCTTTATCCCCCAAAAATTTGGGGGTTTTTTTTTTTGGGATCACATTCCCAGAGAAATCCCGGCTGCCCCATCCCTGGAAGTTCCCAAGGCTGGGGAGTAGAACTGGATGGGATTTGGGATTTTTCCAAACCAAAGGATTCTGGGATTTGACTGATTTTCCAAAATTATTTCAGGCAATTCCCACAAAAAAAAAAAAAAAGCAAATTTCCAGCCATTCCTGCCCTTTTTCCTTCTTTTTAATGGAAAATCGGCGATTCCTGGGATAAAACAGAGACAAAAAAACCCAAAATCTCTGGAAAGTGCAGCCGGAAAAACTCAGCAATGGGGGAAAAAAACCAAAATAAAGGGATGAATAATTCCCTGAATAAATTAAAATTGGGAATAAGAGAATCGGGATAGGGAAAATCCGGAATTCGGGTGGGATACAGGAGGCGAGGAGCAGAATCCAAGGAAAACCGGGCACTGTCCTGCAGGAAAACCCTTCTTTAAATCCCTTCCCTCCCAAATTTCCAGCGTTTTCCCACTGGAAATCCCTCTGGATGCCCTCGGATCCGCAGGTTCCACGGATCAGGGGGGAATCACTCAAGTCTCATCACCCACAGGGATAAAATGACATTTTTCAAGGGTGATTCCACAGGAATTTATTGGAATTTTTGTCTCTGTAACAGGACCACGTAGCTCCAGGACTTTCCACAGAATTCCCTCCTCATCCCACGGACACGGGAGGAGCAGAAGGATTTTTGCCCGTGGGGCGTTTTCCTGGTGAAATAAAAGATTTTAATTCCAAGCTGAAGCAAGATTTGGGTGAAGCCGATGTGGGGAAGGGATAAAAACATCGCGGAATTCCCAAAGAAATTTCCCGGGAATATCGGAAGGGCTTGGGAAGGACCCTAAAGCCCATTCAGGGACACCTCCCACCATCCCAGGGTTACAATCTGGACATTCCCAAAACCTTCCCTGGTCCCAGAAAAACCTTTTCTGATCCCAAAAAACCTTCCCTTCCCAAAAGAACTTCCCTGGTCCCAAAAATCCTTCTCTGGTCCTGAAAATCTTTCCTTGGTCTCGAAAATCTTTTCTTGGTCCCACAGAACCTGCCTTGGTCCCAAAATATCTTCCCTGGTCCCTAAAATTTCTCCTTGGTCACAAAATTCTTTCCCTGGTCCCACAAAACCTTCCTTGGTTCCACAGCCCTCCCCCTCTCCCTCAGACCTTTCCCTGCTCCCACAAATCCTTCCCTGCTCCCTCAGACCCTTCCCCGCTCCCTCAGACCCTTCCCCGCTCCCTCAGACCTTTCCCCGCTCCCTCAGACCTTTCCCCGCTCCCTCAGACCTTTCTCTGCTCCCTCAGACCCTTCCCCGCTCCCTCAGACCTTTCCCCGCTCCCTCAGACCCTTCCCCGCTCCCTCAGACCTTTCCCCGCTCCCTCAGAC